CGCTCTTCCGATCTCCCCGAATATGTATTTTCGGCATGCCTCTCTAGGTTCCCGAAAGCCCGGCGATGAAGACCGTGGGGCGGCTTGGAGGGAAGGTCTACGCAGCCGTTGGTCCGAAGGTGATCCCGCTAGAGTTTTATTGCATCCTCTCTTGATTGGTTGATTGGTTGATTGGTCGTTATTGTTCGCGTTCTCCTTTTGTATTGTTCGCTCTCTGACCACCGTAGATGTGGTTCGGATTGTTGTACCCTTGGAAACCAATCAAGCTGTTATGTTTCGTTGCGTGTGCCCTTTTTTTGCAAGTCTGTGACCACGGAGGGCGTGGCAGCGTGTTTCTTTCGCAAATTGGCACTCGTTTTTATGTTCTTGTATCACCTACTTGTATTTTTTTTGGGGCCTCGGCGGATGGGACCAAGGGTCCCCCCTTACTTTTCCTTCGGAGTACCCTACGCATGTATGTATGTATCATCTTTTTATTTGCTGCTTATGTTGTTGCTTGTCCCCATGTGCTACTTGAAATTTTGTGTAATGTTGTCGCGACAGGATCAGGTCGGCTTTTCTCCCACGCATCCGGCGAAAAACGACCCGCTCTCTAAGGATAACTTGGCACAGCTTGCTGCACAGCCCAAGGTGACCTTGTTTTTTTGTTGTTGAACAAGTACTTGCTCACCCTTTCCCTTCATCCCTTCTTGTACAGCCTTTGGTAAACGACGGTAATTGTCTATACATGCGGTGATATACTGCTATTTTCGCGTAGCAGGCGCGGTGCTGTGTTTCCCCCAGACAGTCCGAGGTTTTTGCTCGCAATCCTTCTGATGATCCGGGTTCCACCTGCTTGATTTTTTTTTCTTTCTGGCAAGAGGAAAACACCTTCGACAGGCGCGGGGGAGATATATGTGACCCTTTCGCTAAGGTCACGTCTACGTCTGACATTCGTTTGTATTAATGTCGTTGGTAGTTGTCTGTACCTTTTTTTTGGTCAGGGCCCCGCTGCTGCGCCAGGCCCCTTCCAGCTCAGCTCAGCTTGTTGTACCTTTTCGGCGTATCCTGCTCTCTCTAGATGTCTTGGGCACCGCCTGTACCTTTCTTTTTCAAGGCCCCACACTGTGCCGCCGGCCCTTGTAACTCTAAACGTCGTCGCGTTGTCCGTACCTTTTTTTGTCAGGGCCCCACTGTCCCGGCCCCCTTCCACCTCAGCAAGAGCAACCGGCCCAGCAGCCGCGACGGAGGTTCGGCGCCAGGAACGCCTCGCTCTAAGGAGGACACCCTAACCTTCCGGGAGTCTCTCGCCCGCATCGAGAACAAGGTGCTACTAACGGTGCTGTCGTGTGGGACGGGTTATTATAGCGTTGGGGAAAGGGACTCTCGCCATCATCGAACACAATAGGGCAAATAGTCGCGGAAGCAGGGGATAGTGTTGGGCGTAGTCGCTTCCCAGCATCTAAAATCAAGACAAGGTAGGCGAGTATTCTGTGGGGCGAGTTGGTGTTCGGGTTGGAGTGTATCGCCAGCATCCAACAGCGAACATTACCTTCCATGGTGCAGGTTAGCCTCAAGTGCCAGGGTTTGTGTTGGGGCTAGTCTCTCGTCTGCATCGAAACAGGGTGTAGTCGTGAGCCTTGTACACAATGTAGGGGCGAGCGGCCCGGTGAATTCTCGTCTCTTGGCACAGATATCTGTTTTTACATTTGTTTGAGTTTGGGCGGGTGCCCGCTGCTGTTTTTGGAGCGGGCGAATCGGTCTCGCCCAAAGGCTCGATAGAGGGCCCACCACGATATAGGGAGGACAGGGAATCCTAACCTTGCCTGACGATTCATTTCTGTTTTCGCATAGTGTGTAGTGGGTGGCAGGCTTCGAACCGAGGTCTTTCGCCACCACAAAAACAGATGTCCCATGGCGACGCCAATGTGAAAACGAGCGAATCGTTCTCGGCAGGCTTTGTGATATATCCAACTCCCCGTTTCTTTTTTGTCTTTTCGGTGTTCCGTTTCGCGTGATCATTGACGTCCCGTTTCAGACGCCGGACCGTTTCCGTACCAGGCCTGTGGGCGAACAGCCCAGGCTACAGCCAGTCGCTCGCGTAGAGGCGAAGCCCACGCTTCCCAAGTCGCCCAAGTGAGTGACACTGTTTTCTCACTTTTCTGATTGCGCTGCACGGTGTGAAGTCGAGTTTTTTTTTTCATTGACAGGTCCTTTACTGTACAAAGATGGATGGGTGTAGACCGCCAGTGCTATAAGTCATTTTTTGTCCGTTATCAGAAAGAACGGGTAGGAGTTGTCGTCAGCGCACGCGACCGTCACCTGGTATTTGCACAGACGGCATTGCATTGCGACGGCCCTGAGCTCTCTGACTTGTGGTTCCAAGACC